TATCGTATGGAAATAAGGAGAAAATGTGGTTATTCATAATTTCATCTAGACGAAAAGACACCATTGTGCAGCGAAAATAAAACTTTAAGCCGGTGTCATACTTGAGTTTTTCCATATAGCATTTGTCTAGGTGCCCGAAAAGGTTTTCTTTATATTTTATTTTTGTTCATGTTTTGATGTGCATGGTCACCCTAAACACAAGATGGCCCCAACCCATGCACAAGTTGTGGCGATGGTCGGCATTATTATGACATTAAGAAGGCTAAATGAAGCGAATAGTGTAGAATAACAAATACAATCCACCTTCTAAAATTGTAAAGCACTACTACTGCCTGTCGTATTTCGCAGATGGTAGGTAATCGAGGATGGGAAGCGGATGGCCGCAATCGTGTGGAAACAAAAGGTTTGGCGATGATCAACATTATTGTGGTATAAAGAAGGCATTGTTTTACAGCGATCGATCGGTGATCGATGCATACACATTCTCGGGCTTATTAAAGATAATTTTTATAAATCTGTGTTCTTGGATTACAAATTCCTTAGTCAGTAAAAGAATGATTTTCCACAGCATTTCATTTTATTATGAGGTAGATACCCTTAAATAACATGGTTATTCTATTTAATTTCAAATTGGGACTCCTGAGGTGCAATGCCTCATCATTATCCGGTGCCCGTCAGCCAACACGAATTTCCATTCTGTATGGTCGCAATGTATTTGATTTCTGTACACCTTGTTCAATTTGATACTGTGAGGTGCAAAATGTCTTTTTATACGTATGTTTATACTCGTATATAAGTATATATATATACTTATGTGCATTTTTATATATATACCTATGTGTATCTATACATGTATGTACTGTATGTGCACATGTATATATGCTTATGTACTTTCTCAGTATAACCTATTTAATTTCATGTAATTAATGACAATAATATTTGACTATATAGGCTTCTAAATTGTTCCAAACGCATTAACAAGAGCTGGGGTCTGTGGCGAGGCTCTGTAAACCGGCGACTCGGTAGCTTGGACTAGAGGATGGCTTGAGATAGGGATCACTGCTGCGGGATCACCCACGTTGATTGGGTGTCCGCACTAAGCTTGGCATCAATATGGCCACCCTTGGGGAGCCGAGGGCGTCCAGGTTGACTAAGGAGGTGTGAACCGGGCCAGGGGGGAAACCCAGCAGCCAAAAGCACCCGTGTCGAGCAGTAGTGGGATCACGCCCGAGAGTGTGTGGCTCGTAGTAGCCTTACCAACACAGGCAGACTTAGTTCTTTTATTTATTAGAATCATCTTGTATAAAATTTATTATGTGATGACGTAAATATATGTAACACTTCTTCACTAGCACCATTATATAATCCAATACATTAACCAGTAAGGAAGAAAGGGCAGATATATAACGAAATTTGGTTTTCAGATCTTAAGAGAAGTAATATGTATGTTCAAGGTTTTCTTTTATGTAGGTGTATATCAGTGTTCAGTACGTAACCTTAAACAACTCTGGTGTCATTGGAGTAAAGAATTTCTTTAAATATGTCATTAAAATGAATTTTAAAAGATCCTGAAAAAAATTTACATCTTGTACTTGCTTCGGCAGTACATATACTAAAATTGGAACGATACAGAGAAGATTAGCATGGCCCCTGCGCAAGGATGACACGCAAAATCGTGAAGCGTTCCACATTTTTAATCGCATATATTTCTGGGACTCTTCTTCAAAGTTATATCCTTGATGATAAAGTATATACGTGTTATTGACCATTATTCCTTGTCTGGAGCGAGGCATGTAGGTGGCGAGCGTTCGCGCCCGGGCATTCAAGGCGATCGATATCTGGAAAGCTTTCTTTCCTACCAAAACGTATACGGCATTTACATGCTATTTATCACATGTCTTGGCAGACGTAATATTTTGAGGATCTAAGCAGTTTGTGAAGCGAAACTTCAATAAATTGGAATCAATCACTGTGAAATAAAAGCTTTCACTCTTGCACCGGATGCCCAATTCATAATGGTAATTTTATTGTTATTCCAACTCTGCAATACCCCTTTAGTTCATGAACTATTGTCCTATTCATTATTGATCAACTTTGTTCCATATACTCCAAAATCAATTAGGTTAAAGTCTATCACTACAAATTATTACACTTGCTAAAAACTCCCTAAATCGTTTTAATATCACCATTATTATCTAACAGTGGAATATGATATAACCCATTTTTTTGCACTATTAGATTAAATAACATTAAACTTCTGTAATCCATTACACATATCCTTGAATAATACAATTATTCTGTATTGTTTACTGAAAGTTGTCTCTCCTGAAGTAGCATATGCCGTTCGACGAAAGGCACGACTGTGTTGTACGAAAGGAGAGAAAGTTAGCACTCCCCTTGATTAGGACGGACAACACATATACTGTCAAGGCACTGTCGCACTTGCGGCACCTGGCACATTTTTCAGTCGTCGCATTTTACAGCCTAATTGTTTGTTCATGAAGAAAATTGAAATGCAGAAATATGTTATTATATCTTAGAAATATATGGAACGTAGGCTACACCGGGGAGTAATGCGGTTCGAATCCTTCATGCACTGTTGCGATTTAAGGCCGTAAATACGTTTCCACACTTATATAGAAATGTTAATTACAGTTAAAGCAATGTGTACATTATAGAATACATACTTGTTTATGAATATATATATACATATAAGCTAATATGTAACGTACATATACTTGTAATTATGTGATATATGAATGTAGACGTAATTGCATGAATTAATATATCTATATGTATATTTCAATACATATGCATGCATACATATATACAAATATATATGTGTATGTAAAAAAAAAAAAAAAAAAAAAAAAAAAAAAAATCTCTATACAAATTGCCTAGCTTACCGCTTACCACATCTAAATAGATATATACATGTGAATATTTTGCCAAGGTTATAAACCCTTTCAAACAGTACAACTATAGCTGGGGTCTGTGGCGAGGCTCTGTAAACCGGCGACTCGGTGGCTTGGACTAGAGGATGGCTTGCGGTAGGGATCACTGCTGCGTGATCACCCACGTTGATTGGGTGTCCGCACTAAGCTTGGCATCAATATGGCCACCCTTGGGGAGCCAAGGGCGTCCAGGTTGACTAAGGAGGTGTGAACCAGGCCAGGGGGGAAACCCAGCAGCCAAAAGCACCCGTGTCGAGCAGTAGTGGGATCACGCCCGAGAGTGTGTGGCTCGTAGTAGCCTTACCAACACAGGCAGACTTAGTTCTTTTATTTATTAGAATTGTCTTATGTGATGACGTAAATGTAACACTTCTTCACTAGCACCATTATATAATCCGATACATTAACCGGTAAGGAAGAAAACGCAGATATATAACGAAATTTGTTTTTCAAATCTAAAGAGAAGTAATATATATGTTCAAGGTTTTCTTTTATGTATGTCTATATCAGTGTGTTCAGTACGTAACATTAAACAACTCTGGTGTCATTGGAGTAAAGAATTTCTTTAAATGTTAAAATGAATTTTAAAAGCTGAAAATTTCTACATGTACTTGCTTCGGTAGTACATATACTAAAATTGGAACGAAACAGAGATTAGCATGGCCCCTGCGCAAGGATGACACGCAAAATCGTGAAACATTCCACATTCTTAATCGCATATACTTCACTGAACTTGCTTCAAAGTTATATCTTTGTCAGTAAATTATATAGCGTGTTATTAACTAAAATGTACTTTCTGGCCCGATGCACGCGGTAGCGAGCGTTCGCGCTCCGACGTTCTTGACGTTTGTCGGGCTTCCTCTTTTTCATATTTATATATCGCTTTTGTATGCAAAGCATCACATTATTCTAAGGATAATTAAGACATTTTTACAATCCACCTAAAATTTTAAGGCATTACTGTCGTATTTTGCAGATGGTAGGTAATCGAGGATGGGAAGCGGATGGCCGCAATCGTGTGGAAACAAAAGGTTTGGCGATGATCAACATTATTGTGGTATAAAGAAGGCATTGTTTTCCAGCGATCGATCAGTGATCGATGCATGCACATTCTCGGGCTTATCAAAGATCAGCAAACACTAGAATTTCCATTCTGTATGGTCGTAATGTATTTGATTTCTGTACACCTTGTTCAATTTGATACTGTGAGATGTAAAATATATTTTTTTATATGTATATGTTTATACTCGCATATAAGTATATATATATTTATGTACATCTTTATATACATACCTATGTGTATCTATACAATGTCTGTGCATATGTATATATGCTTATGTATTTTCTCAGTATAACCTATTTAATTTCATGCAATTAATGGCAATAATATTTGACTATGTAAGCTTTTAAATTGTTCCAAACGCTTTGTCAAGAGCTGGGGTCTGTGGCGAGGGCTCTGTAACCGGCGACTCGGTAGCTTGGACTAGAGGATGGCTTGAGATAGGGATCACTGCTGCGGGATCACCCACGTTGATTGGGTGTCCGCACTAAGCTTGGCATCAATATGGCCACCCTTAGGGAGCTAAGGGCGTCCAGGTTGACTAAGGAGGTGTGAACCGGGCCAGGGGGGAAACCCAGCAGCCAAAAGCACCCGTGTCGAGCAGTAGTGGGATCACGCCCGAGAGTGTGTGGCTCGTAGTAGCCTTACCAACACAGGCAGACTTAGTCCTTTTATTTTGTACAGAATGCATTCTATAATTTCGTAGTCTTTTATTGTATGATTTGCAAAGTTTATTTAATGATTACGTAGTGTTTAATCAGGTCATACGATTATTCACTTTCACCTAGTGGCGTTGTAGGTATCTGTCAGTGGATGGTCCCTGGGCAGCTGGGGGTATGGAGAGGCAAACGAGCTCAGGGGTATTCTGACGCCAATAGTGGGCATTGGAGTATATTCTATAGAGGGGTTATTGGGCTTGCTGCAATCATTAAATGTATCGATAAAACAATTGCGAAAAATAAGCACATTACTCTAAAATGTCCAGCATTATTACAACTATACAACACATTCAAGGAACGATACAGAGAAGATTAGCATGGCCCCTGCGCAAGGATGACACGCAAAAATCGTGAAGCGTTCCACATTTTTAATCGCATGTACTTCATTGTTTTTACTTCAAAGTCACATCCTTGTCAATAAAGTATAAAGAGCGTTATTAAGTAAAGTAACCTCTCTGGCCCGATGCATGTGGGTAGCGAGCGTTCGCGCCCCGATCTACGCGTTGTTTGGCATGCTTACTTTTTTCCTTTTGTACGCAGTGCTTTACATTATTCTTAGGATAATTACAGACATATTTAGCAATCCATCTCCTAAAAATCTTAGGCATTACTTCAATCTGTCGTATTCCGCGGATGGTAGGTAGACGAGGGCGACCGTTAGGAGCTACCGTTATACAGCGCATTCAAGCAAACTTCCAATATGCAATATACAAACGATATATTAATGAAATGCATATTTTCTACGCAATTGAATAATTAGGTAAATTATAATGAAAATGTTGCTTTTATTATCTGATTGGGTCATATCACAGGTTATACGTATATAAATTTATGCATCTACTTATCTATCCATCTCTATATTTATGTACATATACTTATATGTATATATGTGTGTGTGTGCGTGTTTGCGAATAATTATCTACACATGCATACACATACACAAATATGCATCATTACTGTGCTCACTAAAGGGTTGACTGGATGTAGATAGTACGTGTCCCATGTATCGGCACTGGACGAATTAAGTACGGAAAACATCAAAAGTCATCGCTAAGAACTTCAAAAGTTCCAAAAGTTTAAGTTTGATGTACTTGCTTCGGCAGTACATATACTAAAATTGGAACGATACAGAGAAGATTAGCATGGCCCCTGCGCAAGGATGACACGCAAAATCGTGAAGCGTTCCACATTTTTAATCGCATATACTTCACTGAACTTGCTTCAAAGTTATATCTTTGTTTGTAAATTACATAGCGTGTTATTAACTAAAGTGTCCTTTCTGGCCCGATGCATGCGGGTAGCGAGCGTTCGCGCCCCGATCTACGCGTTGTTTGGCATGCTTACTTTTTTCCTTTTGTACGCAGTGCTTTACATTATTCTTAGGATAATTACAGACATATTTGCAATCCATCTCCTAAAAATCTTAGGCATTACTTCAATCTGTCGTATTCCGCGGATGGTAGGTAGACGAGGGCGACCGTTAGGAGCTACCGTTATACAGCGCATTCAAGCAAACTTCCAATATGCAATATACAAATGATATATTAATGAAATGCATATTTTCTACGCAATTGAATAATTAGGTAAATTATAATGAAAATGTTGCTTTTATTATCTGATTGGGTCATATCACAGGTATACGTATATAAATTTATGCATCTACTTATCTATCCATCTCTATATTTATGTACATATACTTATATGTATATATGTGTGTGTGTGCGTGTTTGCGAATAATTATCTACACATGCATACACATACACAAATATGCATCATTACTGTGCTCACTAAAGGGTTGACTGGATGTAGATAGTACGTGTCCCATGTATCGGCACTGGACGAATTAAGTACGGAAAACATCAAAAGTCATCGCTAAGAACTTCAAAAGTTCCAAAAGTTTAAAGTTTGATGTACTTGCTTCGGCAGTACATATACTAAAATTGGAACGATACAGAGAAGATTAGCATGGCCCCTGCGCAAGGATGACACGCAAAATCGTGAAGCGTTCCACATTTTTAATCGCATGTACTTCATTGTTTTTGCTTCAAAGTTACATCCTTGTCAATAAAGTATAAAGAGCGTTATTAAGTAAAGTAACCTCTCTGGCCCGATGCATGTGGGTAGCGAGCGTTCGCGCCCCGATCTACGCGTTGTTTGGCATGCTTACTTTTTCCCTTTTGTACGCAGTGCTTTACATTATTCTTAGGATAATTACAGACATATTTACAATCCATCTCCTAAAAATCTTAGGCATTACTTCAATCTGTCGTATTCCGCGGATGGTAGGTAGACGAGGGCGACCGTTAGGAGCTACCGTTATACAGCGCATTCAAGCAAACTTCCAATATGCAATATACAAACGATATATTAATGACATGCATATTTTCTACGCAATTGAATGATTAGGTAAATTATAATGAAAATGTTGGTTTTATTATCTGATTGGGTCATATCACAGGTTTACGTATATAAATTTATGCATCTACTTATCTATCCATCTCTATATTTATGTACATATACTTATATGTATATATGTGTGTGTGTGCGTGTTTGCGAATAATTATCTACACATGCATACACATACACAAATATACATCATTACTGTGCTCACTAAAGGGTTGACTGGATGTAGATAGTACGTGTCCCATGTATCGGCACTGGACGAATTAAGTACGGAAAACATCAAAAGTCATCGCTAAGAACTTCAAAAGTTCCAAAAGTTTAAGTTTGATGTACTTGCTTCGGCAGTACATATACTAAAATTGGAACGATACAGAGAAGATTAGCATGGCCCCTGCGCAAGGATGACACGCAAAATCGTGAAGCGTTCCACATTTTTAATCGCATATACTTCACTGAACTTGCTTCAAAGTTATATCTTTGTTTGTAAATTACATAGCGTGTTATTAACTAAAGTGTCCTTTCTGGCCCGATGCATGCGGGAGCGAGCGTTCGCGCCCCGACGTTCTAGGCGTTTGGCGGGCTTCCTCTTTTCCATATATATATATCGCTTTTGTATGCAATCGAGGATGGCGAGAGGACGGCCGTGGAAACAAAAGGTCTGAAAGCTGATGATCCAGTGTATCGTATGGAAATATGGAGGAAATGTGCAACAAATGCAAAACTTTACATTTTTCCGCATAGCATTTTGTAGGTTCCATGGATTTTTTTTCGTCACACGAAACACAAGATGGACTCACCCACCCACAAACTTTGGCGATGATCAACATTATCATGGTATAAGAAAGCATTGTTTTGCATCGATCGACCGGTAATCGATGCATGCACATTCTCGGGCTTATTAAAGATGATTTTTACGTTTCCACATTTTCAGTCGCAAACACTACACTGTTCTTGCTTCAAAGTTATATCTTTGTCAATAAATTATATAGCGTGTTATTAACTAAAGTGTCCTCTCTGGCCCGATGTACGCGGTAGCGAGCGTTCGTGCCCCGACGTTCTAGGTGTTGTTTGGCGTGCTTCCTTTTCCCCCACATTACATTGCTTTTGCAAAGGCTAAGTGCTTCATATTATTCTAAGGATAATTACAGACATTTTTACAATCTATCTCTTAAAATTGTTAGGCATCATCTCTGCCTGTCGTATTTTGCAGACGGTATGCAAGAGAGGGTGGCTATCGCGTGGATCCTGAATCAGAATATCTGCAAATAAGGAATGTGATTATACTTAATTTCAACTAGTCGAAAAGAAACAATGGTACAGCGAATGTAATACTTTAGCCGGTGGCACATCTGGATGTTTTCTGTATAGTATTATTATTTTCTAATGCACACAGTCACAACAAACTAAACTATAGGATGGCGAAATAATGTGAATCATGTGGGATAACAAATACGCTTTGTATATTAACGACTCATCTGTTGGGACGTGGGAACGTGGCTCACAGATGTAATAAAACAGGCAATCAACTATTTGCTTTGCATCAATCGATCAAGTTCTATGCACATTTTCGTACTTATTAAAAATAATTTATACAAATCTACAAGGCCTTCAAGCAAACATCCAATATGCAACATGAAAACGATATAACCCTGTGAACTTTACTCAGAAGCATTGCAATTAAGCAATAAGGTACCCTTCAATAACACGGCTATTCTCTCCTGAGGTAGCACTTACAGCTCGACAAGGAACAAGTATGTTGAACAAAAGGAGAGAAACTTAACATTCTCTTTGGTAAGGAGGGACAATGGTCACACATTTTCTGTCGTATTTCGAAGCCAAATAACATGTTCATAGAATGGACAGAAATGTAAGATAATCCCATATTTTACATAAAACGCACATACATATACATTTCAATCTATGTATACACATAGCTATACATATCTCTCCATATATATACATATATTTATATGCATACATATATCCATATATATTATATATACATAGATACATGTGTATATTTATCCATACACATAGCGAGAGGGTTTATATGTATATATATGTGTGGTGTGTGCGTTAGTTTGCGAATAATTATCTACAATGCAATCACATACCCAAATATCATCATTCACTGTGCTCACTAAAGGGTTGACTGGATGTAGATAGTACGTGTCCCATGTATCGGCACTGGACGAATTAAGTACGGAAAACATCAAAAGTCATCGCTAAGAACTTCAAAAGTTCCAAAAGTTTAAAGTTTGATGTACTTGCTTCGGCAGTACATATACTAAAATTGGAACGATACAGAGAAGATTAGCATGGCCCCTGCGCAAGGATGACACGCAAAATCGTGAAGCGTTCCACATTTTTAATCGCATATACTTCACTGATCTTGCTTCAAAGTTATATCTTTGTCAATAAATTATATAGCGTGTTATTAACTAAAGTGTCCTCTCTGGCCCGATGCACGCGGTAGCGAGCGTTCGTACCCCGACGTTCTAGGTGTTGTTTGGCGTGCTTCCTTTTCCCCCACATATACATTGCTTTTGCAAAGGCTAAGTGCTTCATATTATTCTAAGGATAATTACAGACATTTTTACAATCTATCTCTTAAAATTGTTAGGCATCATCTCTGCCTGTCGTATTTTGCAGACGGTATGCAAGAGAGGGTGGCTATCGCGTGGATCCTGAATCAGAATATCTGCAAATAAGGAATGTGATTATACTTAATTTCAACTAGTCGAAAAGAAACAATGGTACAGCGAATGTAATACTTTAGCCGGTGGCACATCTGGATGTTTTCTGTATAGTATTATTATTATTTTCTAATGCACACAGTCACAACAAACTAAACTATAGGATGGCGAAATAATGTGAATCATGTGGGATAACAAATACGCTTTGTATATTAACGACTCATCTGTTGGGACGTGGGAACGTGGCTCACAGATGTAATACAACAGGCAA